TATATATATATCTATCCGAGGAAACGATAAATCATTCTTTGACAATACAAGAGATTCTCTTATGTCTAACATTTCTTTATATATATTCATTTATAATATAATATATATGTATATATATATATCTCTCTCTCCGTCTCTGCATATTACGATCATGCTTCATCACCATTGGTTTTCCTTTTGCCACTTGTACCATCGTCAGAGCGTTCATAATAATTACATTTATTTTCTTTAATCTTTCATTTTTTTAAGGCAATGTTATTTCAAAAGTTTACACCCGTCTCGCAATTTACGAGATCGGCCGCGCCGAGATCATTCTTTCCGTCATGATCAACGTATTAAAATCGCGTTTTACCTTTTCTTTAAGAATAGCCAAACATCGTCGAACGAGTGATCTCGTTCGTAGATTCAAATAATTTTTTTCCGTCGTACAATAATCACAAAGGAACACATGGTCTACGCGTTACGTTCAGATACACGAGCATGTACGTGTGTATCTGTTCAACGTGAAATGGAATCGGGCTAAAATGCTTTCAGAACTCACTGACATTCTATCGAACAGACTTTTCTATTTTCATAGAAGATTTCTCCGATAATTGTTAATATAATTTCCCACTATCAATTCGTTTTACAATCTGTATCACTTTGTTGCCAAGTACGCCCTGGCTGCTCGAGACCACTTCTATCGTCAACGATTTCAATCGAGCATACTGATGTAATGTTAGATTCTGGTCAGCGTGTTTGAAAATTTTCACGATAAGCGGCGAAGTACGTAAAACAGAGACAACAAACGGTCAAATAAGAAACAGATCATTTTCCTGTGACTTTCAGCTACCGATCAACATCAAACGCGCTCAGTGTTCAACGATCTTCGAGAAGCTTTCCCATCCATCGCCGCGTTCCCAGAAAAGATTCTGTCACCGCAAACACCGTGAAAAGTTCAACAGAATCTTTTCTGCGATCTTCGTAACGCTTCATCCATCGAACGCATTCAGAATTCCTATAACGCATCCTGCGAAGCATTTGAGCTTGCTCGCACCTTCGTTCAAGTTTTCTTCTCGTCGACTCTCTTTATATTACACTTCATCTCCGATCTGTGAAAATTGCTCTTCTCGTTCTCGTCTACCAGGCAAACGCGTATTGCTCATTTCCCTCCTGCCCCCATCCTCATTGAACCTCGCTTAAAATCGACGACTCACATTTGCAATATCACCGTAATCATTCAAGTATCGTATGAAAAGAAAACGAAAAAGAATGTTCATATCGTTCCGCTTACACATTATGGTCCCTACAAAAAATACAGTACATCTATAAGCAGTTTATATTAGTTGTTACAATAGTCAGTATCTATACGTATATATACGCAACATTCTTTTTATTTATTTTTTCGTCGCTATAATCAGAGGATTCTACCTAATACTTGAAACGCTTCCTCGTACGGAACTCTTCGTCTGTCGAGGTTCAGTATGTCGTATAGCTTGGGAATGTGTGTTACACACGGCGAATTCAAAACCGAAACTTTCGCTAAACCGATTAGAACTAAACTAGAACTAGCTAACGATGAGTGCATCAGCGGTAGACAGTAAAAGCGCGGTAATAACAATATGATAAAAATTATTCTATAAGAACGTAATTGAAATCGAGGATAAGTATCGTTCGAGACGAGAAATATAGGGAAAGAAAGTTGATCCGAAGGGCATGATTTAGGACACACGCGGAAAAAGGGTTCTGTGAAAATGTTTAAGTAACTCGATTATAAAACTGGGCGGGTCGCGCGCGCGTAATCGTTCGTTCCGCGCGTGTATCCCGGTAAGTCGTATAAATCGACGCGTCGTTCGTTTACACAGTATTAGAAACGGAACATCGTCGTTCCGACGGCGACCATCGTAAAATCGTATAGTTAATATTTTTATGTATATATATATATATATATAATCATAACACACCACGTTTTCTCTCCTTCTCGATTGCTCATTATAAATCACTCTAACTATCGTTACTTCTCTATGTACAATAATCGCAGTATATCTCGACAAGACGCGATCGTAAATTCTTTCTTTTCACTCGTTTCAACCATCGGACGACCCTTTCGTCCCTGCCGACGCGCGAGCAAATTGAATTCGATTCGACTCGACGCGTGTTCTTCATCTCCTGCGCATTTCTTCCCGCTTCTCTGTCGCCTCTGTTCAATTCTATTCACAGCACATTTTCCCCTTTTTTTTGTCTCGCATTCAATCCAACGTGTATACGAGAGATCCGTCCGGCGAGGCCGCCCATCGTTCGACAGAAAGATTCATATCACAAAGTAGGTAATAGTTAGTTAATACGTAAGTTGCTTCGCAATAATTAATCGTAGTTAGGAGAAGAGATCATCACGGCCTCGAGAACGTTTCGAACGACACTGCCTCGCGGACGGTTCAATGGTTCGCAAACATCAAAATCGCCTCTAAAATATAATATATGTATATATTTATGTTTATATGTATATATGTATAGTTAGCGTGTACGTGACTACACTTCGAAAAATTGACAGTGACGGGCCAAACAGCGTGCGAGATACATTTCGTACATGTACAGAGATAAGTATTTCATTCCTTTGACGTAAGTAAACGCTGCGTCAGCATAATAGGTTCTTCTTGTTTTGTTCGAGACAGTAAAATTAATGCCATCTTCCGACGTTTCAAACTTTGAAATTTCACAGAAGCGTCCGTAAAACGGTTTCGTACCCGAAGCGATAGAGAAAAACAGGCTGTGCTCTATACAATATTCGTTTTTGTAAAATTCCCTTAATTATCTCCTCTCGTTCTCGCTTTAATCGGAGCTGAAAGGAGTGAATTTGTTCGTTCCTTAAGCTAGGATTTCATTCCTCTTTGCACTGATAGGTATTCGTATCCGCGTCTTCTTTAATAGACTTATTTCGACCGCGAGTCAATCAAAGGTGCGTGTCACGATTTAATAACGTTTCTTTTTCCTGAGGTTTATATACTTCCTTACCTACCTCCCTCCTTCCTTCCTTCCTTCCTTCATCTTTCTCTTTCTTTGTTGCATCGAAATCGGATACGAGAGGCTTTCAGGTACAAAACAACGAGTAGGCTTGCCCGTTCCCTAACGAGTGAGCTACGCGGTGTAATATCGTGAGCCAAACGAATTTTGTTACGCGTTCAAATATAACTGCAATTGATCGTCGCGACGCCTGCGTTCAGAAGCTTGCAGGAACGTTTTCGTTTTTGTATTCTTAATTCGAACGAGTAACGTCAATGTTCCGTGAAAGTTTTGAAAACAGCAAGTGTCGCCGATGAAATGATATTTAGAGAAGAAAAAAACGTGAGAGATCAGGACGTTGCTTCGTTGAAAGAAGCGTAATTATTCTCTTCATCGACTGTACGGCTCACCTTCTGGGGAATCCAAAAATTATACCGATAAAATATACGCGCTAATGCGAAGTTTTAAAATAACTCTATAAAGGAGTCAACGCTGTTCATTCTCATTCGCGTGTGTACGTGTGTTCTTTTTTTCTTTACATCGCTACTTTAAATTGACTACCATCTGTTTATTAATTCTGAGAAAGCCTAACAACTATAGTTATAAAATAAATTGCAGCTCTCGATCTGCAATTGTAACGATATTATTTATCATAGATAGTTAACTCTATCACTTAATTATCTTTAAATATACGTTTGTCTAGTCTTGTATTTCTTAAGGCAGGAATTTTTATATATACAATTTTGTCCTTGTTGGCCTTTCGTTCGTTTCTACTCTGTCTCTTCTCACTCCGCCCCGTTTTTTTTCTTTTTTCTCTTTCTTAAACGTCCGAGGTTCGTTTACCGAGGCGAGGGGAAACTCGTTTCAGACAAAGGAAATCTCTGAACGATTCAAGCTCCTACGAGACGTCTGTCTGAAGCGAGTCCGTATATACCTTCCACCACCCATTTACGTTTCTGTTCATTATTGACATATGTATACATATATTCGCGTCACCGTAAAAATGTACACCCTAGTGATATTAGTTTTCCTAAAAATAGCCAAACGGACGAACCTGTGGCAAATCATTTCGTACGACAAACGATAATCCCTCCCCGCGCGAATATGATCATTTGTAAAAATATTTTCGGCTCCCCTGTGTCTATGCAACAATATATTATAACGCGGCGTTTGGAAAAGTTCACTCGATATCTTCAACGCAATTTGAATTTGTTACCCGACGATACACGGAACGATATAAGATAAATTGTTCGACTTTCGATCAGTGTGTCAGCACCACATAATGCGTACGGAATACCCATTCCGTCCATCGTTCGATACCGTTCGTAACACTGTTTCACCTTCTGTTTACGATTGCACGCAAATCGACGACGTACCTATCTCGTATCTACCACATTCGTTTTCGCGCCGTATCAGCTCACCCGTGGCAGAAAAACAATTTGCCACAGGCTCACGTTGTCACCACTTGGACAATGATAATTCGGCTGCGTACAGCTTTTAACACCGGCTGAACATTAAACGTTCCGTACATGCTTGTCCGGTTTACCGGTCAATGGCTTTACCTCCGTGTCCGGCTCTTCCGCGGCAAGCGGCGCTTGCCTAGTGTCGGGAACGTCGACGTCCGTCTTCGAACGATTGTCCGTCGAGTCCTGCGTCTGATTCGACGAAGCAGTGTCCTCCAGGTTCGTCGATTTCGTAGGTTCCGTAGGCGACGAAACCGACGACGGTGTCGACGTCTCGGAATTCGGAGGAGCGCCGTCGCCCTCTCCTGCGTTGTGCAGATGCGGCTTCTCCTCGAACACTGAAACAAAGAGCCAAAGCGTGTTTCGTTGAACAGAGTACGATTTCAGACAGACTCATCCGTAGCACGGATGAAAATTTACGTACATTTGTCGAGGCTGATGATCGACCCGACGAATTCGTTGACGGTGAAAGACGGCGCTTGGTCTTCCATCTGTCTTCTCCTTCTCACTAACCACCAGTCAATGAGGAACAGTGCCAAAGCCAGTATTTTAATGCCAGCGCAAAGTCCGACGTATCTGAAAGATACAGTAGTAGAACGTTCGACAACGTACCGAGGAATCGATCGATTCGTTGAAACCAATCTCGTCGTTGTACCTGTATCTAAATTGTTCGATGTCGTAAAGTAGACAACGTCCACCTTTTTCGCCGCAGGTGCTTTTCCACAGCAAGCACGTGGAGTCGATCAAGTTGCCAAATAAAATGGGAGCGGGTATGTAACCGAAGAGCCGAAAAATCACGAACTGCATGCCTAAAGCGAACGATCGTTCCTCTTCAGAGACAGACCTGTACGTGACAAAAGGAAACGTGTCACGGAGTGACATGCGGACAGTGAACGGTAATGCATAACGGGGAAGCGAAAGTTTACCGTAAAACTATCATTAGCAGAGGCATCTGAGTTACGGCAACGATGAACGTCATGAAAAAAAGTAGTATTAAGAAAGGGAATATGGTCCTACACGGCGAAATGCACGGGCCAGCGGTAGCCACTGGAACCACCGTCACTTCTGCGAATTCCGGGGCCGCCGGTGGCAACATCGTCAAGTTCCCATGTATACCTGGCGAAGGACACGAAACGTCACATTAGAAATCGTCACGGTAACGATCGGGAGGAAAGACGAGTTCGACGCTCACATGCACAGTTAGTAAAGTTGGATTTGGAACTGAAGGCAGTGCAGCCTGCGTGACAAGGACTGAAGTACGTGAGACCGTTGTTCCCGCAGACCGGCTCGACGTCCGTCATTCGGCATTCGCAACCGAAGTTGCACGCGGCAGTGAGATTTACTTGAAAGGGTTCCGGGCCCTTCGTGCTGCTGTTGAAGTACGGTATAGTGGTCCCAGCCATCTTCACGTTGTCGCAACCGAGGAAGAACAGGAGGCCGTAGCAGACCAGACATATCACGTTCGAGACGAGCACGAACTGAACGGCACCCTTCGGTCTTAATTCTAAGCGTTTGAGCAAACATCCACCGAAGAAGATCCCGATGCAAGCACCCGGTATCGCTATAGAACCGGTGAACACGCTAGCCTGGCTCTTACCCAGGCTGAACTGGGTCTCCAGATACTTCGGTAGGAAAACCACGAATCCAGAGACGATCACCAATTCCATGCAAGCTCCCAGGCACGTTACGACGTATACCGGATTACACACCAGTCTCCACATGCTCCTCGGAATATCTGAAACACGCGAACGTATCATTTTTTTTCACACGCTCCGGAAGTCCCTTTCCTCCCTCGAGATGATTCTACCTTTCACGTCCTTCCCGTAACCGCTGTCGTCGAGCTTTTCCTTCTTCGGCTCTTTGCATTGCTCCTTCTCCTTTTGCGCTTTGGCCTTCTCGATGATTCGTATTTTCTCTTTCTCCCTTTGAAGCGTTTTCGGGAAACTGAAGAATGGAACTGCCACTAGTATCAGGAGCAAGCCACAGAGCAGGAACCCGCCCCACCACATGCCGACCCATCTGTGATCGCCTGGGTCTGTAGAAAAAAGAATAATCATTTATAGAAACCAGTGTGATTGTCGTGCGATATCACCATACGTGATCGGTCAATTACCTATACTGATGATCGTCGCGGTAAAGGAGTCCATGTGAAACGACAACAGATAAGCTCCTAGGAGGAAACCTAACACCGGCCCGAAAGCTGCCATGCTGTACATGCAACCTGAAGAAGAGGACCGCGTAAATCGACGAATATTAGTGACCATCGGATCGGAACGTACCGAGACGCCGCGTCATCTTACCGATATACAGAGAAGCGCTTTCCGGTCGTACATGATCGTCTATGTAAGTAGTACCGAGAGTAAACAGGGGAGAACCGCCACAGCCTAACAGCAACTGAGCGAGTACGAATAACATGACAGGACCAGCGTTGGACGGAGATCCTTGAATGCAGTTGTCGCCTCTTAAATTGTTGTGCGGAGCCAGGGGTGGAGACGACAATCCAGACGACAAACGACCTGCGCAAACAACGGTTTCAACATCGTCTCGATCGAGTCTAACAACACTGCCGAACCATCGACCGCGATTGAAAAATAGTCGGTGAAACATTTACCCAATCCCATGTCTTGTTCGCGTAACGAAATGCCGCGGCAGATGTTGTCCGAGCTGGAATTGTTCGCGGCCGTCATCAGGTTGGGCTCGGCCGTAAAATGTGGCACCATGAAGATCATCGATCCCAGCCCCATTATGACGGCGCCTGAAGTGATACAGAGTTCTTACGGCTGATCCTAAATATCGAGATGCGCGTCTCGCGCGTGCTCACCGATCGCTATCCAGACGGGTATGTGTCTGCGGCTACCGAGATAGCTGACGAAGATGACGGTGATGACGTTTCCGATTTCGTAGGAGCTAGCGATGACGCCCGAAAGGCTGGACGGGATTTCGAACCTTTTCTCTATCGTCGTGATCACAGAATTTATGTAGCCTGAACTGAGTGCCTGCTGCAGCGTGACGAGAAATGACAGGAGGAACACGAACACCTGGACGGAGAAGGATCATTATTGACGTTGACGTCGCGACGTTCGTGCGTACAGGTGGATGAAAAACATGACCGATCAAATTTCAGCGCAGCGTATTTGAAATTATTTCACTACAAGACCAGGAGCCGTGAATTACGAAAATCGACCGATCAAATTGAACGGTCAATGTAACATCGGTGCTCAACGACAGTTTTTTCTCATTTCTTTTTACGTGCACCGATCACGATACAGAGTGTGAGACGAACGATACTCCTGATAGCGTCGATTCTTTCGCGCATACATGTACAACTTCGTCGAATCGAACGATGAAACCCGATCAGATGATCAGAGGCTTTATCGATTCGACCATTGTACCCTTGAGTGCATTTTAACTAACGAAGGTAAAACGCTGCATTAACGATAATGAGACCGGAATGAAACCTCGATACACCGTGCGCGATAAATCGAAAATGGCTCCACGTGTCGTACTTTTTCGGTCATGGCCAGTGAAAGAAAACGCGACATCGCATTGCGAGAACAACTGTACGTACCGTGAAACCTGATCAAGTTCACGAACGTACTGCAAAATGATCATTTCCTAACGGGGCGGTCGGGATCGAAAGACGTCTACGGGACCAAATTCATGACTCGACACAGAATCGGAGACGTCTCTTACGCGACGGTGAGATGAAAGTCGCACGATCGATATCGAACGGTATCCAGCAACGACGATGACTCAAAACTGGTCGCGTTGTGTCCCTCGACCATAGCTCGGGAACCTTCTCGTAGAACGGTCGCCGGCGTTCAATGTCGTATCCTTTCGAACGAGTGACTCACGATACCTCGTTCGTACATCCGTGTACGATCGTAGATCGAGCACCGTGTTAAACGAATCACGGCACGGATACACGCGAAATCGGGCAATGAAACGCAACTAAATTATCACGAACCTTTATCCCGGCGAATCTTTGTACGAAGGCTGGCCTACAGCTCAGAATTCCACAGTCCTTCGAATCCGGATTAAACGGTGGAGTCTGAGGTCGTTCCTTCTCCGTCCTGCGTCGGTCAACAGAAAAAACGAGGATGCGCTTCAGGAATCCTTCCGAGAATTCAGCCCGCTATTTTCGTACAGCGGGGAGGGACAAAGCGAGAAGCACGCGTGCGGTTCAGAGTTGATCCCTTAACTGCGAAAGTCGTCGATCAGAGATCCAAAAAATCGTAGACGTCAACGAAATACTTTCAGCGATTCAATTCGAAGTCTCTATTCGAGTAGATTCGCCATTATTCCGATCTCGAGGGATTTCACGGGTTCTCGCCAAAGGTTCCACGAAAGTCCTACTTGGTGTCCTACTTGGATTCCTCGTTCAAATCAAATTCTTGGTTCGTCGCGAGCGTTGATCTCACGAGAGAATCACCCTCCGCGTCTACCTTCCCTGAGATTTTATCTCACGTACAATTACTGTGGCAAAATTAGATCGCCGTAAGCGTAACGGTATCGGAGTTTTGGCGAAGATAATTTTTTTCACAAGCTAAGCTGTGCTACAGCAGTTAAAGGATCAAACGAGACGATCGTGTTCGTAACACGGAATCAGATGCAATTCGCAGTGATTACGAGTTGCTGCTTTTCATTGATCAAGGTAAGAAGGATGAGAATCGTGCGTGCTTTTTTACCTGTCGACCATGGAAGCGCTGGGATTCCTGCTGTGACATTTGATGATGAAATCTCTGAAAAAGTGTAAGAACAAGAAACGAGAAGCATGAATATCTCGTGCCGAAACGATGCCCCATGTTCGCGTGCACGTGAGTCAGAACATATCGTAATTGGTCACTCCGGGTATGAAGCTTGATCGTTTAAAAAGGTGTATCGTACAAACATCGTTGATCTGCGCCCGTGGCATGCGAGCTCGTCGAAGATTTCATCGTGTGAGTATTCGCGAACGGTGCGGTCAGACGAAAGGCATGACTCTCTGCGGGACGAGTTTACGACGGGTCTGACGTTTACAGTAGAATCTATTCGGCGATACTAAAACCGTGTCACGGTCGACGTAGTGCTTTCACTTTCACTATTTCGAGGGTGTTACGCGTCGCAATTTTTGCCACGATCGTTTCCAGAATCCATTCCTCCGTGTAAATTCGCGGACGGGCCCTGCCCATGGCGCAAAAATCTCTCGTTTAACATTCTCGTGGCTCACTTCTCAGTGTCCACCGCTTTCCCTTCTCGATTCTATTCACGAGCAATTTCATTTACGCGATAACGCTGACAGACAGGAGGTAGATCCGACGGTGTCGGAATTAAAAAACGTCGTCTCGTACGCGTCGATCATCACCCCTTACCTGTGGTCCACGAGGCCAGAACTGGGATTTCTACTGTGACACCTGATGACGGTGTCATGAGTCAGTCTGCTACCGGTCGCCTGCAACGGGTCTGTGGCTTCATCGGTCGCCGTGGCCGCACTCTCCGCGTACAGTCCTGTCATAGCGTACATGCTTTCGTTCCTTCGGTGTCCGGCATGGTAATTGCTGCCGGACTCAGACCTGGAAACGCGTCCAGGAGGTCAGCGGGCAATTTGGAAGCGATCCATCGGAGCCACCGTTCGCTTCCGTCGATCCCGATATATTACGTGCACACCCGATCGTTCGACGCACGCACTACGAATCAGCTCTGTCCGACAGAATACGCGTAATTTCGTCGTCGACCGAGTCGAAGATGTTTCGAGTTCGTTCGTACCGGATCGCGGCAAATGGAATAGAATTTTTGCCCGGTCCAAGTTGACCTGGTCCAAGACCCGCGGCTTTTTGATCCGCGAAGATTATCCTGCTAGATCGTGTTCGGTAATTTCGTCGACCGACGTGATTCTTTTCAAGCGCCACTAGAAACTACTTATTCCGTAACTACTCGCGATCATCTGCCATGATACTAGGCGCGATAAAAACGCGAACTCCAGGTGACAGGAAGTCGCGAACGCGATTTCTCTCGGTTCATCGTTAGCGGGCGAGAAAGGGAGAAGACGAACAACAGAATCCTGGAAGCCCTTGAACCTGTACACATCTAAACGTTACACGTAGCCCCCCTGGTCGAAGGATCACGTTACTCTCTCCGACGTAACGAGATCCTTCCTCCTGTCGTTCGACGTTGTTTCCCCTTTTTCTTTTGGGACACGGATCACGCTGCAATGCCGTGTTAAAATGCGTGTGCGCGGGTTTCTTCGATTCGAACGTGCGTCGTACGGTCGGTCACTTCGTTTTCACGTCGTTTCGTGAAAACGTGTGGGAAGATGTCGAGGATTTATTAGGAAACGCGTAAATACGAGCACACGGCTCGGACTCGTTCGCGAAAGGAGGTGAAGAGGAACGCGACCCCTTGATACCGGGTGGCGCTCCGAAGGGTCGATGAAGGAACGTTCCCAGGAGACAAAAGTCACCTTTTGTGACCGAAACCGCCGCCGGTGCTCTCGTTCCTCTTGTGGCCACTCTCGGATCGTTTGTGGCCAAAGGCACTGGATATGCTCTCGGCGCGTTTGTGACCGCTCTCCGAACGTTTGTGGCCGATGAAGCCGCCGCCAGACTCGGTGCGTCTGTGGCCGAACATGCTCGAGCTCGAGCCGTTCCTCTTGTGCCCGCTGGTCGACGCCATTTCTTCTTCTTCTTCTTCTTCTTCTTCTTCTTCTTCTTCTTCTTCTGCGTTCTCCGCCACTTCGGGTCCCACCTCGGCTTCTACCTTCTTACCGAAGACGATGAATCACGGCCTCGCCGACGACATTTCTGGCCGAGTGCTTCCGTTGCCTGAAACCCAAACGCAAATACGCCGTTACTTCGGGGCTCGAGACTCGACGGACGAGCTCTCAATCATCTTTCATCACGGCTAGTTCCATTTTTTCTTTTTTTTTTCTTTTTTTCTTTTTTTTATAAAAATTTTAGACATTGTCAAAAGCGAATTCGATTCGTCTTCTTACTCGACTCGAGCCAACGAAATTCAAATTACACGCGATCGATCGATCGATCGATCGACGTCTGTATATTTGACGGTTCAACGAGCCTAACTTCTAGTAAGGTCGGGGTCGCTCGATGGCGTACGCCCCGCGCGATCTGAGCGAACAGAAAGCTGTCTTCTTCGTCATAAAGATAGCAACGAGATAACCGTATCTACTGCTCTTTGCCACGAAAGTGCGTCGTGGAAAAAGCTGCTCCTCACCGATGACTCACTCGTCGAGGGGAAACGAACTCGAGATAATACTCATCGAGAACGATCGAGGCGAGCAATCGAATTAGAAGGAGCACTTTCCGATTTAACGCGTTCCACGGGATCGCCGGTGTACCGTTCGTACACGAGTCGAATCCTGTACCATGAACGCCGCGTCGATTTAAAAATACCGTCCTATTCGTGAAGTGATCGTAATTTGAAGAATCGTCACGAGTCCGGTTCTCGACGTCCGGTGATCACGCGCGTCCGTCTTCGACGTCACCGTCGAAATCGTTCCTGTCGCAAGAGCAACGGAGCTTCGGATCGAACTTGCGCAATTAACGCGTTACGTAAAACCGGCAGCGTGTCTCTCGGTATCGCCGTGGCGAGGATCGAGACGACGACGGCGGCGGCGGGACGGGGTACGCATCGATCAATGCAACGCTGATTCGAGTTCAGGCTTCCGCCACCGTCGCCGAACGTCCTACCCGTTTTCTCGTCGACCATCCGAACGTATCCTCGTCGTACCTCTGTTGTTGAGATTCGCCTATGCGTACGACGTTCAAACGTCGAGCCACGTTCGAACCCGATTCCGAAGGTGTCGGTCGTTCTCGCGAATCGAGTCTTCTCGGGAACGAGAGCGAACATTGAAATGTTCGTACGTACACGAGTTTTCGATACGACCGTAAGAATTCAGTTTATCCGCGCAGTTCGTGAATTTCGATTGTTAAGAAACTGGCGTGCGAACGTCGGTGGCGATCGCGCGTGAGCGATAAAAAAACAATCACGGTCGAGATGTGCAGCGTGTAGCTCGAGTCGGATACGTGACTCGTTCGTCAGTTACTGATTTCGGAAATTTTATGTTCGTACGTTCCACCGTCTCGGTCATTGATTCTGGATCTCCAGACGCGTCACGCTTCGTCCGAAATATATTGAAATCTGACTCTCTGAAGCGACGACGACGTCGACCGAGCGTCCTCGGCAGACCGACGTTGATCGTCATCTCACGTCTTTTGCGTGCGTCGGAGTCGCTCGATCGAAAATTAATCGTTGCGCACACGTTACGCGTCGAGTTTCGTTCGCGTTACGTCACGTCCGACACTCTTTGCTCTTTCCACGATCGCGCCGCTTCGAACAAATTAAAAATACAAACAGATCGATCGTCGGCCGTGTTAAAAACAAATTGCTCCGCGTAATAACGAGCAGCCTCGCGTAACTCTTACGCATCTGATTCTCGCCGGCTCGAAAGTAGTTTTTGTTGTCGGGAAGCGTGGGACGTTCTTTCCGAGGTTCTCCTGCTTTCTCAGATTATCGACCACCCACGGCCTTGATTTCGTGGACCGATGAAAAATTGAACGGGGTATAGCCAGCCGGCCGACCGATTCAGAGTCAGGGATACGCGACAACGATCGTTCCGTCGGGTGAGCACGTGCGAAACGTTGCTCAGTTTCGCAAGTTTCAATTTTCAGTTTGCGAGGATCGTGCATCGATTTAAAATAGTTGGTCGCGTACAGGCGACACGATTAGAAAAATCATTTCCTCTCGTTCGACGATCGAATCGGGCGTAAGCGCGGTGAGGCTCGAGATAAATGATACCGCGTAAAATACCGCGTTTCTTTATCGATGAAAAGTAAGTCGGTTCGTTGAGAACGAGGTCGAGATCATTAGAAAAAGAATGAGATGAATTTTGAAGACGCGAGGTCATGGACGTGTTTAAATTACAGATACGAACTGTGGGAGCATCGTGGTGAATCGATCGTTCTTAAACGTCGGTTTCGACAGGAATTCGACGGGAATACATGGTATCGCGCGATAAAGGCTTTCCCTCGTTTGCTCATCAAATTTTCACTACTAAACGCAGTTAGTCGTAAAGTTAATCATACGCGGCCGATCCTATTGTATCTCGGGGTTACATACCGCTTCGAACAGCATTATGGTGACGTTACAGAATCGTAGATGTATATGAGCATAATTTTCTTCGAATCGCCCGAGAACGAAACACACGTGTCAATCGTCTGTTCATCACAGTGTACGGAATAAGCGTAGCGTGGAAGGACATGAAATGCATCGCGTTGCATCGAAGTTTATGAGACGAAAAGAAACGTATCTCTAAAGTGAAATGAATTCCTGGTCAAGTGAGAGCTCGTGTAACGGGATCAACCAAGTTTAATCGGTTTTCGTTTCGACGATGCGATTTTCGATCGGTCGTGCCGATGTCACATGGTGTTGAATTTCCCCGTACTTTTTTTCCCCTCCTCGACGAGAGAAACCTCTTAACAAGGGAAACAATGGCTCATTTGCGAAATCGAATGAACAAACCGGCTGACTCTCGTGCGTTCGCGGGGCCAATTTCAGCAGTCGAGGCGCGCTCGCTCGAGTAATTTTACTCTGGCAGTGAGAGAAAAAAAAACAACAAATTGCCGCGACCGTCCCCCGTCGCTCGAAATAATTACGAAACCGCCGCGTACGATCGATACGAGTGAAGGAGAAGCAAATATGCTAGTTCGACCGTGATCATTCGGGAAACGAGACCATCGATAAGAGTATTTATCGTCTTCTGAGGTTCTAACGCGCCGTAACGATTTCCACGTTACTTGCAACGTCGTTAACGAACTATGAAGATCGCTTCGTAGCACACTCGCTACGGTAGGAGATCCAGTGACGTGTTGTAAGAACGGTTAAATTCTGATTGATAAGTGAACGAAAACGACGAGACGACCAATCCTGGGGGATGGGCATTGAAGATCGATCACCTCTTCCCTTCGATAATTTAATACACGTGACAATGAACGTTACAACGAATCGATAAATATTTCATAAGCATCGGATAACAATGTCTGTTGGATATTGTTCGGGGCAACGACACGCTAATTACGGTTTAATCCCATACCATAATAATCTTTTTGCGATCTTAGACCAGACCCTCGGTTCGGACCGGAAGAGGAGCAATGAACCGTACGAGGCGTACGGTTAAAAGATCAACTAATCACCCATTATTCGTCGTTACGCAGTACGTTTTCCCGGTTACCCTTGCCTTTCGATCGACTGAAAAAAACGGAACCTGCTTGTCCGCCGATTCAACGACGAAACTGTCGTTTCATAATTATCTCGACGATCAGACGAGGACGGGATGCGAAAACGTCGTACGATTCAATTGAAAGATCCACGAGCGGAGGAAACGGTGGCCCCGATAATTTTCGAGTTAAATCGACTTGGAATCGTCGTGACCAACTCCGAAGGAAACGAGGAAGGAACTAACAAGGCGGTGTTTTTCCCGTAACCCAGTTTTCTTTGCACCCGCGCTGGCACCGCGCGTAGCGGCGATCCATTATTCTTACGGCACGAACAGCTATCACGCGAAACAGAACCTAGCGATGGACAAAATGCAGCTAATATTAAGAACTGCAGACTCAAACGACGAATACGCATTCGCTGAAATTCAGGTCGTTTCAGAATTATTTTCGCGCGTATCGTATCGTACTTCGTACGAGTTTCACGGAACGAACTAGAAACACATGTCGACGATCTTCGCGTAGATTCCGGGGTGTTGCACGGACGGGTGCACCAAGGATCTCTGTGTGCGATCTGGACGCATGTACTTAGCTCGTCGCGAATTCTGGGAGAGTTCGCAGCGTTGCGGCGCAAGTTCGATCGTGCGATCAGGTTCGTCGACGAAACGCTGCTGACCTAATGCCCGACCCATCGTGGCTGGCTCGAAGACCTTCCGGCACGCTAGGGGCCGTTCGATCCTGGTGCACACGTGAGGACGGATGGACGGATAGCGAGCACGGCTCGTTAGACCGTACCAGAGCGCGATAGAGGCGTCGCGACGCGATATCGCGCCGATCGATGGCTCGCGTGCAATTCCTGAATCCCAGGCCCGATACGTCGATCAACGGACGCGCAATCGCGACCTTTTCGCTCGGCGAGGATCGAACTTGCACGAGCCGAACTACGGCCAATTAAACTTGGACGATTCGATACCGCCGAGAGGTACCAGCGTCGACTTGTTTTTATCTCTCCTCTTCGTAGGTATCCGTTTCCTTCTCTCTTTTAACTCTCTCTCTCTCTTGTGCGAATTACGTGTCGTACTGCGAATGTCGCTCAACGATCGAAACCACGTGAAACACGAATTTGTATTCTGAAGGTAGGAATTTTTTTTAGAAGAGCGTCCATTCGGAGTGGACCGACGCTTATTCGAGCGAGGAGAGAAAAGACCGGGTGAATTCGTGATCGCGTTTCGTGAACGGAGAATCGGGCAGTCGCCGCGTGTCATCGGCCGGTTCACTGCTGCACAACGTCGCGCACGCCGTAAGAATTGCGCCGTGCCGCCTACCTGCGTGACGTTAGATCGTTCGCCGATCGATAACGATAACGAAAACCAGAAGGCAACGTCTGAGACAAATAGTACGGTTCGCGGTAAAATTTAACGTTGCCGCCAGCACGATCGAACGGGTCACGGGTCGGAGAACGATCGCAGAGACCGGCGTTCACTACAATAGAAAATCCACTGACGTAGACGAATCTCCAATCTGTCATAAACTGTACGTATATACCTATATAAATATCGTCTGCGTACTAATGAACGTTACGACGAATTGAAAAAAAATAGTGGACTCCACTTTGCTGGAATAAAAGTAGAACGAACAGGAGACGAGGCGAAATTTGATACGTTCGTAGAACAGTAGGATTTTTTAGTTTTCGGATCATCGAGAACTGTCGCGTTCCACCGGTCCGATCAATCCATCGGAACGAGTGAACGAAATCTCGATGCTAAACGCTGGACTCGTTCAGGAAACAGCTCGTTCCACGCGACTGTTTAAATATACGTAAATCGTTTCCTCGAGGAACAAGTTCGCTACTGTGAAACGCGCTGGCGTCCGACAGAATTACACGGGTCGCTGGAATCTCTTCGTCGGCGGCCGAGTAAAAAAAGAGCGTTCCTGTTCGTTAACGCGAATCAGATGCGACGAATTCCACGGTTGATAATCCTATACGCGTCGTTCGACGACGGCTCGATCGACGACCTTCGAGGCGCTCCGCGTTTCGATCCGCAATTCGAACAACATCGTACGTTTTCGACGCGTTCGTCGCGTTGCAACGAGACGGACGGTCAACGTTTTGTCTCCGTTTTTGATTCCGTCGAGTCGTCGCTCGAGCGAGGACAGTATTCAAGGATCGTGTCATCGTTCGTGCTTTCACTTTCCGATTCGATGAAAACAGATGTTGCTTGGTTCAAATGAACCGATAATTCCGCTGTATAGTTTACCTCGCGGTCTTCGAACACGGAGAGTAGACTCGCGACGCGTTACGTAGACGGAAACGTCCGTCGGAGGAATTAACGTCGAGGGCCGGTGCACAGATCTGAGAATCTGGAAGAGAGCGAGATCAGTCTCTGTCGACCGCGAGATCGAGTTCAGAGAGCGTAATCGTTCTGTGGGAAACCCGAGCTCGAGAAGGAACCGTAGGCAGGATAACGAGGTCACCCGTTTCTAGAGGGATCGGAAATGCTGAATATGGTTCGCGTACGGCACACGGTCTCGTTCGAGAACGGAACTATCCACGACGCGTGGAACAAAGACGCACCCAGTGTCTGACTTTGGCCACTGACGCTTCGAACGATGCGCTCAATTTCACCCGTAGGATTCTGTGTTGTACGCGTATACGAAACGACCAGATCTTGGAACGACGGCTCTTACGATTTTACAAGGGGACGTAGAAAAATTATGTGCACAGACGTTGAACGAGAGATAGAATTGGTCACGAGCATCGTTCTCTCGAGTGTTCTTTCCGAGTGCCGTTCCACGGAGTGTGCTCTTCCCAAGTATCGACGCGATCGAATCGGCGAGCCAAGCGTCGATGGGAGTCGACGAGTTCTCGATACCGTGAGACGAACCAGCTCTCCCTCGCACGCTGCATATTAAAAATATTCACCTAACGACTAGACCGCGGATCTTAAACGTCTGAACTTCTTTCAACGATCTGCGATACGCGCGATCGTCGCCGACGCAAAGTGTCGTTCGAACAAGATGAAAATGCTATTTTCCAGGGAACCGGGACGTTTTCGCGAGTCTGTCGCGGGCAACGATGGTCTTTCAGGGAAATTTCCAGAAGACGGATCTCTACGGTCATGGCGCATAAAACGGGCGACGTGTACAAGGATCGTGGGCAGGATAACGAGGACACAGGTACGTACGCGAACACGACGAAAGAACCGTTTGACTCACCGCGTTGACGCCCGCTGCCTCCTCGAGCGGATCGGATCGGCTCTGAATGGGAAAACAGGCATAATCCCGTTCGTTCGGATCGGACAAGAATCGGCGTGACAATGTTCCCGATTAGACGTTTCTTTCCGATTCCGCTTTTCGCTTCGTGATCTCGTTCTGCGATTCGATCCTTTCGATTCGATCACGCTCACTGTCCAGGATTTGTTACGACGGTGACGGAGTTACCGGGAAGAGACGTTCGCGTTTCCCATGAAACACGCGCTTCGACCGAGGAAGGTACGGTTTTTCGTAAAGACGTCAACGGAATCCTTCTCACCGATCATAAATTATGCCCGATCGGAGAGAAGGATTCCGTTTCCCCGTCGACTCGTCGTTCACGGAAAGTACAGTTTCGGAGCGTTTCCTCAGAACGAATCGGCATCGATCTCGGCTCATGCTCTGGCTCAATGGCAGCGCGATCATTTCTCGCTGTAACTCGGTTTTCGTCAGCTACTTCAGTTTCTATCGTACATATTTACAGGAACGAATGATCGATTTATCAGTGTACTCATTGTCGCATAATTAATTTCGCCAGTTATGGTCACATAGCCGATTACACCGTCTCCTTGTTCGTCGTGACTCGTCCACGCTCGACGGTGATGTCACGCGGAAGCGACTGGACGATCGCCTTTACAGTTATACCCTTCGTTTATTTTGGTGGCTTCGACCTCTCGTTGAACGCGACCACTCGATTCATCCAACAGGAATTCCACGTTTAACTTTATGTAGGTCGGAGCGACGCTCGACGTGCCGCGATGAATCCTTCAGTTACGATTATACGTTCGTGCGAATTGTAACGAAAAATTAGAACGGCGCAAAACACAAGATCCTTGCGATCTCCGACGCTGCGAGCCATCGAATCTTCCAACAGACAGACGCACCTTTCGAGTAGAATGCGCGGAGAAGAATAGAGCGTTCCATTACTGATAAAACGAAAGTGGTTATCAGATTTCTGGACCCACGCGACGCGAGATAGAACAGGTGAAACATTGACAGTTCGGAGAATCCGCGGGAGATCGAGCAGCGTCGGAACGATGACGAAATAAGAACAAGAAGAGAGTGAAGAAAGGCACCGAGAAGTGGGTAGTCGGGTGGGCAAGGAAGTTCGATGACGCGATATCGAGCTTTGCATTCTGTTCGGCCTCTCTTCCACCCGGCGGCGTGTGCCTCCGCCTCTGTGAAGGGTTCTCGGTGCCTTTGGACGCTCGCCAGAACGCTCTGTATAATGCCGTTACAATGCTAATTCTCGATCCCAATGTCTCGCGGTGCCAGGCGAAATTATGCGGCCCGGTCTGCCAGCCTTGCGTCGCTTTATGGGCGGCGTTTGTACGTGGCACACGCTCCGTTTATCGCATCGACGTCGATTCAACGAAAATACTGTTTCATTTACGTAGTTGGCGGCTGCTCCTCGTCAGAGCAGAGGCACGGCCGGCCGGTCGATGATAATTAACGTTATCGAAACGAGCTCCGATCCCACTCGTCTCTGCCTTTCTGCCACCAGCGAACATCGTTTTACGTTCGCCAGGGTTTTATCGCGTTAAGCCGGGTATTCATCTGAGCACGAATGCGAACGAGGCAAGGCGAGGCCGAACGAGCATACATATGTGGACGTGTAACCGAGGCGCGGCAAACTGCATTCGGCTGTTCGCCGCACAGACTGAGGCATTCGGGACCCGAGCCGATCGGAGTCGGTACTTCAAAGAAAAATTTGGTTACGTATGGACGGCATTCGTGTACGTTCCACGTACCTTGCCTATCTCGCTGGATCATCGTTCACTGCGTTCGCTGTGGATCACTGTCTCGTTCGTTGCCTCGGCAGACTTCGTTCGCGAAGAAAAATTTTACAAACGAGACAAAACGAGGCATTTGTTCGGCCTCGCCTTGCCTCGTTCGCATTCGTGCTCAGATGAATACCCGGCTTTACATGAACACCGCGCACGATCGATCGTTGCATTTATAACAGTTTTCGCGAGCCATTGTTACAAAATAATCAGGAAATAATGGAAAAGATCTTGGCAGTAGCCGCGTGATCGCGTGTAATCACACCGAATTCGATGCCTGTTCGTCTGATCTCTGGAAAAAATTTCCGATCGACTCGCCTTTCATCCACGCATCCAAGCGTAAAATCGAGGATTACGTTTTTATCAGCAGAAACATTAGAATCAGAAATTGACATTGACTTTCACGCTGGACACCTTTACGCTTTACGCGTTCTGCCCGAGGCCGAGGCTAATGTTGGATTCGGATCCGTAGCGGTTTTGTAGTTCGCCGAGGCGACGGAACCGGGGTAATCTTTGTGATCGGTCACGGGACCGATTCTGCTGGTTGCCGACGTCTCAGCGACGCACGGAGTTCCGGTACGGATCGGTCCCGCTACGGACAATGCGAGTCCTGCTCGGCCGGGCAACAGTGAGACTTCTTAAGACTTTCTCCAGGAAACCGTGAGAATTCGTTCCGATCCTTTTACCTTCGCGACGTTCACTCTCTTCTCAGTGCGAAAAGACACGATCAGTCAGCATGTAAACAGCTTCATCTATGTCTCCGCGAGTCGTTACGCGAAACCATAAAAATAAGGAATTTCACGCCGTCGCGTCAAAGTTCACAGTGGGAAATGATTCCGTTCCGCACTGTTCGAGAATCGAACGAAAGCGATAATTCCTGTTCCCCTCTCGCCGATATGAATTATCGTCGTAATTCACTTTTCGTTGCACGGCTCACGAGCGAAATGACGACCGTTTCGAAACGGAACTGAACGTTGGACAGGCTCGTTCGTACGCCGTACGATCGACGGTCCAGCGCGTTCCGATGCGTTTCTACCTTCGATTCAAACAGATCGAGTTCAGCCCTTAGTCCCGATTGACAAAGTCGAGCCTCGAACCGTAACGACGCGTGGGTCGTCCGCTCACACACGCGTACACGTGGCCAAGTGAAACAGAGACGACGGAATCACGTGGGAGGCCCTTTAACGCCCTTTCTTCTCCGGGAGAGAGCTCGAATTATTTTTAACACCGTCCCACTGAACAGCGACGCTCTCTTGTTCACAGGTCGATGGAGGAAAAGGTCTTTGATGCCACGCGATCCACCGGTCTGGCATCGAAACGATACGAGAACGACGCGATCATCGTCACCGTTTTACGGCGATCGTTCCGCGCGAATCGCGCGTACGGACGATTGGCCTCGCCTCGTCTCTCTCTCTCTCTCTCTCTCTCTCTCACAATTACCGACCTTCCGGATTCGAATCTCGCATAGAAACGCCGTTACTCGAACGACCGACATTTCCTCCCTCGGCGTTCGATCATCCTCGACCTCGACCTACGCCCTGAATCGCCGAGAGAAAACACGTTCGATCACGGCGACTCGTGACTTTCTCTGACGAACCAAGTGACCGCTGCTTACCCGCGTTCGATCGATCGAATCTCGCAAATAAAAAGATATCAAGTACCTGTTAAGTATACGTTCACCTCGATTCATCAGAAAAAACAAGACGTCGATCGGAAGAGCATCGATCATAACCGAAAGCTTGACGAGCTACGACACATCGATTATGCAATCATCAAGGCGGAGCAAACGTCGATTCGAAGAATGCTGATCGCAAACGGAATCGCGATTGCGCTCGCAAATATTTAACGACGAACGTATTAATCGGATAATGACACGTGCACACGTCTCGTAATCAAACATTTAAATAATTGTACCGGCTGCCCATTCGACTCTAACGTCCGTACGTTCGATGCCCGAGATTCTGTCTGGTTCGAAAACGAGAAGAAACGAGAGAACCGTTGTTTCACCGACAAAGAGAGATTCCACGGAGGATGTAATTAATACGACGTGTCTCCGTTGAAACGAAGGAAGACGAAGGGTCCAGGTTCGATCGCGTGCGCGGCGATAGAATTGTTCGAAGTGCTCGATCAAAAAATTCTCGAGACGGACGAAAGAGAAGACTAGAAGGAAGCCCCGTAAACACGAGCCGAACGAAATTACTTTAGCGATTGAGCAATCGGTAACGATTGCACACCGGCATCGTCCACGCAGTGGTTACGCAACGTCTACGTGGAACCGTGAAAAGAAATTTGCTGGTCGCTCTCTCCGGATCGATTCGATCACCGATCGACCTTAGCCTCCTTTCGTTCCGGAACGGGGAAATCGGCAATTATGGCGAACTCGTTACTTTCTCCGTGCGCGTGTTACGTGTCACGTCACCGTGCGACGCACGCGTAACGCGTAAACAACACCGACGAAATCGGCGTAGTAAAAATATGTCGACAGAGTGAAAACGCGGCGCGAAGTCGTCAAATATTTCTCGTTCGCCCGTTCTGCACGTTCGGTCTCGGTCGAAACGACGTAGGACGCGCAGTCCTGGTCTACGAACAGAGTGATTCATCGGGACGACGCGAACCGAACGCACGGGTCGACGTTCGAAGACACGGGAGGAGTCGGACGGGCAAGAGCCAGTTCGGATCGTCTCCGGGCTAATCGGGAGTAATTAACTGAAACGGGGTCAGGGTATTAGATTCACGTGGCTGGCGCGTCGGCTCGCAGAATGCAACGACGCGACGATGCTCTCGGCACGTTGCACGTACGTCGAACGGAATGATCGCGGAATTGTTTGGTGTCCGAGGTACGGTTCGACGGACACCGATCGTTCGTTGCGCCTACTCGGAACAGACGCGTTTGTCGCTGTTTGATCGCGAGAATTTTGCTCGGTCAGTGGGAACACGGTGAATTGACACGATCACGGTAGGTCCTGCGTCGTGGCTCGTCACGTCTCCGATCGGGCCGACCGAAATGTGCCACGACGATCTTCTACATTTTCTTTAGAGTCGACGTCGCCGGTGTTCTCTGCATAATTGCTGTACGTCCTTGCGGTATGCAGGTAGGTCGAGCCGCACTTTTCCAGTTATGATTGATGAAAGAAACGCTCGCCGAGATCCAACGCTGCTTAGCAAGTTAAATAAGTTGGTGTGCCAAAAAAGTTATGCAGGCGTATCATTAGTCTTGTATCATGCAACGATAAATTGGTGTACGCGTGGCAACAACGAGACCTGAACATCTCGAATATAGCGTTCGAAAAATGATTTGCAGGCATCGAATCTCTCGGGAAAATTTCTGTTCGAACCGATTATCTATAGATGCAGATACAAATCCGACCCCGTCGAAGAGACAAAACTCGATCGTCCACTCTCTATGACAAAACGGCCAAATTGCGTAATTACGATGGAATCGTCGCTACGTTTCGCCGGAAATCATGTGCCTTGAAACGGAATTGTTTCTCCCGGCTGGTATTTGCCGGGAAATTTCAGCGATATTACCTCGGAAATTGAGTCACGGCTTCTCCCGCGTCACCCGGTGATCGGTCAACGGACATTGAATTTCGGAGCTCGTAGGAACCGTGATCATTGATCAATCGTTAATTCGCCTCTTTGCCGCAACGTTCGCCGGCCAGGAAAATATTTGCAGTCGAAGAACGGCGATTGATCGGCGATCAAACGTAAAACTCGTGGTCACGCTCGCTGAAACGGTCGCGGTCTCCACGCTGTTCCGCGTGAAAGGAAAAGCCTGGCGATTCCGTGAACGAACGGAGCCCTTGAAATTGTTTCTTCGTAGCCTCCGTTGATCCCGGCCAGATCGTCCACAACGAGCGTGGGTGTCCTTCGCGAAAGGAACTACGCACAGATCGGAGCGTACGGATCGTTTTGCCGTCCTTTCGAAACACCCGTTCCAAATATCGGCCGATGCGACTGCTCGGACGGTCGATCGACGAGATGAGCAACGGCTGTTTGGCTCTCGAGGAGTCGACCGCCTGACCCGATCGACGAAGCGGAATGTTACGAGGCAAGAATGGAAGGCGGACGTCGATCACGAACGTGTTCACGGAAGTTCCGTCGTCCCATTGGAAAGATATCGATCGACGGGCACCTCGGCCCATTCAAACGAGCTCTTAAAAGCGGAGTGGCAACTACTCAGAAAATTAATTTCCATGATCGACCGATGCCGGTTCGTGCATCTAATTTTCCCGGAGGTCTACGTTGAATCGTTGAAAGATCGATCTCGGATCGCTCTGAGAGCGCTCGAACCTCGTTAATCGGTTGGAAACCAACGTCCAAGCGAACGACACGAAATTTCAATGAATTCCCCACGATCGCTGCTTCTCGCAGCTATTCATCGTGCCTTCGAAAACTGACGTTCGACTTCGGGATAGCCGTCAGAAGTTTGTTTCGCGTTACGTAAGAACGATCTCGTCTCGGAACTCGCACGCTCGATCTATCTCCGACTACGTTGCGCTACTCTTTCTTCCCGAGGCATTTGCTCTCGCTCCCGCGAATTCGCGGTACACAGCTACGAACACCGAGGAAACGGGCTTCTCAAATCTAGTCGCCGAGCGTACTCCACGTCCGATCTCGTCGCTTTTTGTCGCCCGAAAGATGGTTAACGACGATTCGCTCTAGCCGATTTAGCCGTCTCTGAATAACGGGAACCGGATCGTGTCGTTCGTGACACCGTCATCCGAACGATTTGATCGATGCGTCGTCTCGCACGTGAGCTGCGGTGGCCGTATAAAGTTTATACGT